TACTATCACGTTAGAGTCGAATATAATATAGAAATTTTACCTGAAAATAAAATTTGTATTATGTTTCCTAAGACATCCGAAGTCCAATTATGAGAGAGTACATCAACTCTTCTGTTGTTTTCCGCTAAATTACTTCCTCTTCCGTTACATTTTTCTGCTTTTAGTGCCAACCGTGGCCAAAACTGAAACTAACTTTTGCAACCTGCGTAAAACAAGCCGCCAATTCTAAAATATTGTTCGGTTCATAATGAAAATGATGCTGATAAACACCAGGAAGGCATTATTTGGACTTTGGATGTCTTAGGAAACATAATACAAAATTTATTTTCAGGTAAAATTTCTATATTATATGTACCGTTCGACATCCGAAGTCCAATTATGAGAGATCTGTCTGTTACTTTCTGATGGCTTGCTAAATAGATCGCAACAATGTGATTATAAAAACATATAATTGGCATTATTTAAAATTTTATTCATAAAATTAACCAATCAAAGACTTAAGATTTTCCGTTTTGAGTAATTTAGATCATACTATATAATTATAAGTTAATCTACATATTTAAACAAATATTTAAACTTAGGACTGAAACGACTAAAAATATTATTAATATGATACTGCAAACAATTTAGACAGCGACTTTTCTGAATCAACAGTACTATTATGATCTATACTTTTAACCTGTCTATAATAATATTTTCTAAAGTTATTTTCATGGCGCTAATTTGCCTTAGCTAAAATCTCATTAACTAGGTACTTCCCTAAAAAATTAAGAGATGACACAGCTGACCTAACACTACCTGGCGTAGCCTCTATCCCAGCTTCAGAAAGGATACGCCTTATCCAACCCCCAATGATTACAGGACTAGCTGGTTTACTAGGAACTTTTGTGTTTATGAATAAATTGGTCAAATTACTTCGTACATTTTCCGAAATGCGTATCAGTAATCTTAACCAAAACAAGGGCCAGTATTTCTATCAGGCAAAGCCAGTAAATTCTAACTTGATTGCTTATAAGTTGCTAAATCAGTTTTTGAGCCAAATATATGATGCAAGATAATTGAACCCCCACTGTCAACAAAATGTTCTGGATCACAATGCAGGAGAGTTAAGTCGTGTATTCTACGACCCGAAGCCAATAACAATATAATCGCTGTTTGCCTAGAAACATCATACAAACTATCTAAGTTACGATTTGTATTTTTCAAAAAAAATATTACAATTCTTGCATCCCATATTTGCAATTTCGGTGGAGTCGGTCTAGCTAATGACACGGCCTTTAAAATACCTTAATGATTTGATGTAATCTTTACATCCGATAAAGTTTCACAGACTGAAGCTATAACTGATGATGGTATGATGAGGTATGATAATCTTTAAGAAAAAGTTTAGCTAAGTACCTGGCTACACTGGCGGGTGCAGGTCGACGATAGTCCATTTTATTTTTGCTAGGCGTATAAGTTTTATGTGTGGATACTCTCCAACATGTTCACAAAAGTTGCTTTTCTTCAGCGGACCAATCCTGTGTTAGAGAGTCCCAGCCGAAATGAGCCAAGCTTCCAACTGCAGGTTGTGAACTTAAGCTAGAGGACGCCCCGTCACTGTGTCCACTAATGTTATTCTGAGATCTCTGATTTTCATTGGACGAGCTAGGGCGCGGCTCTTCAAGTCTGGCCTCCAAAAGGGTTTCTTCCACTTGGGTGCAACAATTATGAACCTTCTCTTTGCGGAGTTGAGATGTCGTAACACCCGCGGAAGTACAGCTGGTGGAGAAAATATCCTGGCGAGGTCGTAGCTCCAGCATCTGCTAAAAGCTTCGTGAAAGCAGGCGCTCGAGTCTAACATTGCTGTGGTGCTGAAGCACTCGGCAATGCAACTTTCCACGAAGGGTGATGAAGGTCGCAAAGTTGAGATACCCTAAGAGGCGTTACGCTTGCTTGAGGATCCAACTGCCTGCTGTCAAGCTTGAACCCATAAGCACTGACGGATCTTGGCTGCCTTTTCTGGGGGCAAACTCTTTGGGTTGTATTGCGCATCCCAGATAATCCCTAGGAATTCTAAACGCCTCGTTGGCCTCAGAATAAATTTTTCCACGTTGATATTTCAACCTAAGGAGTTGGTCTATTTATAGTGGCTGGCATGTATGGCTGCAGATCCGAATGTCTTAGGTTCAACTCCCAGGTCGGGCAAATTATAATGGGTTTTCTTTAAAGTAAAATTTAGTAAAAGCCCAAAGTTAGGAAATTGGCGGAATTACACCCCCACTGCCTCGTAGTGGACGTTAAGTCAGTCCTGCGCCTGATCTCTCACTAGTTGTATCGAATTGTCGTCTCATCGGATTATGAGAGCGACAGGAATAGAGAGTACACTTGTGTTTGCGCATACACTAGTGCACTATAATACCTCATGTGAATATGTATATATAATCATTCAGAACCCTTATAAATATAAAAGTATAACAATTTATATTATGATACATGTACAAATTTATATTTAAAATACTTTTACAATGTATTATTAATATAAATCACTTTCTGTTCCAGGCAAATCATACGCTTACATGTCCATGAAAACTACGTTAGCACATCTGTACAGACATTACAGCATTAAAGGCGACCACACAAAATTACTAGCTAAATTAGATGCTTTACTGAAACCGGTGTCTGGATATTACATTACGATTGAGAGAAAGAAGAAATAACCGACAGAATAATAGTTGCAGAGTAATTGGTCGTATTTTCAAGTAGAATTTTAAAATGATACTAGATTGTAGTGGACGCCAAAACCCTATAAAAATGTTGCTAGGTTAGGTAGGTATATATTATACTATGGGCCTGTGATATAAATATTGCCTGAAATAAATGATTAAATTAAAAATTAAATTTATTACAATCGGTTAAATAAATCTAGAATTACGGCTAAAATAAACTCGAGTGAAGCCACAGGCTAAAGCCAGATTTCAAATGAAAATAGTAGATTATGTGTGCAGGTACTAAATATACCTATTATGTTATTAAATCATAATATATAAATCAATTATGTTTTATTTAAACCTCTCCACTAAAATTTGTGGTATATTACTATATTGCTTTTAATATGCTATTTTTTTTTTGAAAATTTTAATAAATAGTCTACAGTCCTCAACGGATTTTTTAATGATTAATAACAAGCTAAAACTTCGTGAGTAGCTTCATTTTGGCGAGACGCCCAACAATTCATTTTACGTGAATTTGATAGTGGTAGATACAATTGTGTCTTCTTACGGAACATGTCGAAATGGTGATTGTCTAATTACAAACATTTTACGATTTAATCTTAAGATATTCCAACATCCAAGATAAACAAGAAAAAAATTTTGTCCTACAAATCAGATAGTTTGGATCAAATCGTCCCCTTCTCTGAACTTGTTAAAATAATAACATCTTAAAATTTATTAATAACCAGCTAATTTTCATAGTAGTTATAATAAAAAATATGCATAATTGAATTGTCAAATCGTCCTACAAATAAAATGGTAGAATTTCTCAGTCCTACGCTCGGATATTGTCTCCCCCAAGGTGATACTGTTTACTAACTGTAGGACAACAGCAGCATATGAAAGGTAAGTGTATTTTCAATTAAAAAAAAACTTGTCCTACACGATAATGGGTGGGAAGCGAATGGCAAGTCCTACAAAAAATATTTAAAAATAACAAAATATTTAAAAATAACTGGTTTAAGTAAATTCATGTCAAAAGTATAAATTAATTTTATTTTGTAAATTACAAAATAAATCATGACTACTTTTGATAAAAAAATTTATCATAACTACTTTTGATAAAAAAATAATAACGTTAAAATAGTTAAATAATTAATAATGACATGATGTTATTATTTGTTATCTAAAAAATTAACAATAGATGTGGTGTTTGTGAAATACGTTCCTTCTTATATTACAAAGTGGGATATCCCACTTTGTTTCTAGGACAATTAATATCTTGTTTCACATTTTATTTCAGAAAGAAAAATTAGCTTGTTATTAATGAATAAAGTATCACCGTGTCACTTTATTTTATTCATTAATAAAAGTGTAATAAAAACAAGACAAGCTTTAAAAAAAGTGCAAAAACATTTAACATAACCTAAAATAAAACGGACTTTTTCAAGCTTAATAATAAATTACGAATATTTGTAACCAATCTATTATCTCATGCTACCAAGAACTGTCAACAAACATTTATTGAAAGCAAACCGCGTAATACTGATATTCGACCCAAAAGGGTGCTAGTGTTAAAAATTCTCAGTTTATATAAAAATAAAAGTTAATTATAATATTTTACAATGGAACAAATTGTAGAAATGATTAAAACCATTAAAAATCTGAAAGAATTAAAATTCGAAGAACAATCAAATGAGTTAAGAGAAATGAAATAAAGTATTCCAACAAAGATTAACAAAAATTTTGATGAAAAATTCACTTAGAAACTAAGCAATTAGAAATAAAAAAACACAGAAGATCAATAACGCCGAATTAAGCAACTGGAAAAGGTTATCAGAAGAAAAAACTTGCTCTTTTTGGAAATGAAGAGACAGAAAAAAATTATTTCAAGTGTGATAACAACCAATATGAAATTAAATTGCCGTCAGGAAGACAGAGTACTGTAGACGTCTGGGAAAGATATATTTATATAAAATAAGACCAGTAATTGTCACTTTCTGTACAGTCTGAAAAAAAATAGAATAATTGAAAAACAAAAAAGCATTGCAAGACCACATACTACATAAAAGAGGACTTTCCTCTTGAGATCCTTGAAGAAAGAAAGAAATTACGCATTCAGTTACGACAAGATTAGAAAAAATATTAAAATCCACAGTATGACAACAAGAGACAACAAAAAGAGAAACCTATCCCAATCGCCTGAAACCCAAACTAACCCTACTAATGGAAGAAACAATTACTCTAAAAAACCATCTAAGCAAAATAAAAATGGAATCAACACAATATTTAATTAAAACCAAGCCAATGATAGTAATGTCGAAGGTTATTTACATCAAGCTGCAGGAAGTAAAAGTAAGTGACAAGTGCTTGCGACCTCTCTACGTCCCCCAACAAGGTCGGTCACCGCGGGGATCATTGACCACAACCCTTCACTTCAGCCACATACACCACTTTACATACACTCCTACAATGCTAGATCTCTATCATCAGATGAAAAACTCCTTGAATTTAAAGAAACTATTTCAAAAATTTAAACACGACATAATTGGACTTGCAGAAATAAGAAGAATGGGCTACGATATTCTAGAGGATCAAGATCACATAAATTGCTACTATGGGAAAACCAAAGGTGAATATGGAGTTGGATTTCAAATATAGAAAGTTTTATAGCTATATCTGAGAGAATAATTGTATACTAAATCTTAAATAAAATAATGATAAGTATATAAAACAAAATAAAATTTAACATATGTAACATGATTTGCTAGATTTCATTTATTTATAAGTTAATTTATATTCATTCTAATTATCTAGTTATTCATAAAAGAAATCATTAATCTTAATATATATATAATTCTTCTGTACGTGTGTTTGTTAATCTACTCCTCCTAAAGGACTGGACTGATTTGGATGAAATTTTGTGTGTATATTTCAATGGGCTTCTGGATGGTTTAAAAACACAATTGGGCCTGGTAGGTGGCGCTGCTGTTGGTATGTCACCAGTGCCGGATTCAACCTTAACGCCGCCCCTGGGCAATGTAAGTCCACCATAATGCCGCCCCATTATCGAAATTTTGTATAAAATCGATAAAGTTTCGATCAAATTCTTTTAATTTTTAATTTTTGATAAATGCAAATAAAGTTTTTTTTTATTATTCTTTTTTTTTTTGTAAATTACTAAAACAATTTCGATAACTCGAAGATATTTTTTTATATCCTTCGAATTTAATAGGCGAGAGAGGAAGCCGCGGGTACTGCTAGTATAATTAATTATATGTTACATAAAAATATTCAATTATTCAGATCTAATAATTGTTAAACCAATTGTAAATTTTATTTTTTATTACGTAAATAAAAGGCTTATTATTATTATTATAACAAGGTAAAGGTAATAACATACTGTCGACAGTGTCACCGTGGGATATAATATCCGAGCGTAGGACTAAGAAATCCTACCATTTTATTTGTAGGACGATTTGATTGGATTTAATTATAAATAGTTTTAATAATAAATACTATTAAAAATTAGCTGGTTATTAAAAAAAATTATGACGTTGTTACTTTGACAAGTTCGGAGAGGGGGACGATTTGATTCAAACCATCTGTTTTGTAGGACAACATTTTTTTCTTGTTTATTTTGAATGTTGGAGTATCTGAAGATCAATGAAGGAGTGTATCTCAAGATTAAATCGTAAAACGACCTATTAGTAATTAGACAATCACCATTTCGACATGTTTCGTATCAAGGCACAATTGTATATACTCCTGCCCACTATCGAATTCTCGTATAAAAAATAGTTGGGCGTCTCGCCAAAATGAAGCTCTCACGAAGTTTTAGCTTGTTATTTATCATTAAAAAAATCAGTTGGGGACTATAGACCATAACAATATTGTTCATTGATAAAAAAAAATTAGAACCTACGTGAACTTTTAATGTTTATAAATATTTTAATTGGAATTACAAAAAAAAATTATTGTATTTATTATAATAATTCATAAAAATATTTTAGAAGTCACAATATTCATAACTTATCCATTAATTTTAATTTATATACCTATTAAGCCCTAAATTATTATATATATTTTTGACTATACCTATCTAATTCTAGTTACTACTCAGAAAGAGATGGAGCGCCTGTTAGCATAACTAGTATACCAAATATTCTTGTTGTTATATGACATATAATATATTCTATTTATTTATAGTACAAATAATTATTTTACTGCCTGGCCTATTCAAATATATTTTTTAAAATGACGCCATGGTTTTACCTAAATGTGCTAGATTTATTCTACATAAATTGATACAGATTGCAGAATAAGTTGCAAAAAAAATTACCAATACATTTTTTTAAAGACGCAGAAAGTCAAACATGAAAATGAAATGATTTGTACGTATTGGCTGGCACCGACTTCGAAAATATCTGATTAGGTATCTATTCTAAATGAAAACCCCCGTTTAGTTATTTTTTTACTTTTAAGTGCCTGGAAGTCGTTTTTTTTTAAGTTTTTATTTTTCCATTTTTAGTGTAGATAATCAGGTAATTTGTAAGAATAAAGATTTTTAAAAACATATTCGATTAAGCAATTTATTAAGACCCCTACTGATAGTCACAACCCATCAGGTGTAACGCTCACATCAATACAAATTAATCAAGCCCAAACACCAGGTAATTGCTGTAAATCGATGAGGAGTTCCCGCGACTGTCTTTCGGCTCCATCATCAGATCCACTCCAGACCTTCATTAAATAGTAGTGCTTTAAAATACTTAATGAAAACGCACTAGTCACCACTACGATTTTCGAAGATTCCCTTCGATTTCTCTGTAATGCCATCATCAGATCCCGATTTCCTTATCATGGTACCACCCTTGGGATATCTCCTTTCCAACAAAAAAAGAGTAATCAAAATGGGTTCATAAGCGACGAAGTTATCCGCGAACGGATATAAAAAAATATATACGAGTACAATCGAATTGCGAACCTCCTCTTTTTTGAAGAAGTCGGTTGAAAATAAATTCGTAAAGCAATTTATATTAAAACGTACAAATAACTCCACTATGGCTCAGGCAAGTGATTTAAGTTTGTTTAATTTTATATGTATAATTGTATATACGTATTTGTGCATAATATAGCTGTAATGCAGGGTCTACTGGTTTATTTTTTTTTACCGCTTGTACTAAACTACTTTCTATTTGTTTGTTTTATTTGCTTTTTATGTTAAATGTCAATGTTGTCATTTAAGGTTTATTCTGTAAATGTATTTTTAATTATTTTGTATCTTTTTCATATACTTTACATATATGTGGATTACGGACATAGGTTTGAGTAAATAGTATTTCTTTTGATAATCAATTTACGCACGCGGAAGTTGTAGTTAACGCATTAAAAAGTATATACGTAACTAGCGACTTATCCTCGCTTCGCTCGGGTTCGTCCCTAGGTGCAATTTTTTTTGAGCGGAACCCTAATTCTATCAATAAAATAAAAGTAGCCTAAGTTACTCCTTATAACATTAACTACCTGGCAGTGAAAGCCCCATCAAAATCGGCCCAGCCGTTTCGGAGATTAGCCGGAACAAACAAACAGACAGACAGACAAACAAACAATTTAAAAATTGTGTTGTTCTTATAAATACCGTACTTACATAATTCCATATGCCTTTAGAAAATAGTTTTATATTTAGGTATATTTTTTATATATTATTGTAATATATGACATATATACATAATATTAAGCTTTCTAAGATTTTTGATTATAATTCTACCTCACTCTCTCTAGTGCATATCAACGCACAGAACATATTAGCTCAATATATTGATTTTCTCACATACTTTGTGTGTATATGTACCGGTGTGGTTTTGACTGTATACTGGTTTCAGAAATCTGGTTAGAACCATCTTCATCTTTAACTAGCTGTTTCCTACTAGGCTATCAATTATTCCGCAATGACCGCAGTGATCGTGGAGGTGACGGTGTTGTTATCTATATTCGCGGCAACATTACCGTTTGTGTTGTTCCTTGCTCACCGTTCCAACCTACAAATCCTCTTAAATATCTTTTCCTCGAGTTACTAATACGCCATACAAAATTTCTTTTTGGAGTTTTGTATTACACAAATGATAACTTTAATTATTTTAGTGACTTACTTGCTTACGAAAAGGCGACACTCGAGTACAAACGCTTAACGCATTGACTACGTCGTTTAATCTTCACATTTTTTCATAACATCTCCCTCTGGAACGCTTAAAAGAAGGTGTCAAGAATATTGCTCTCTGAAAACAACGTTGAGAGCTTGATTTATTCTCTAACTACTGAACTGGTTAAATTATTCGATTTCCATACTTTTGTAAGCTTAGCCCGCATGAAGCATGCTCCAGCTCCCAGGTAAACACCGGTAATTAGAAGGACTATGGCTAAGCGCGATAGGGCTAAATTGAAAGATAAGAAATATCCACCTCAGGAGAATTTAAATGCATACAAAAAGCTGCCAGATATCTGCAACAGAATGTGTAAGAATGCAAAACACCGTTATATTCACTCCACAATTCAGGATCGTTAGGTGTGGGCAAGACCACGGACACTCCTTAAATAATAGACAAATAATAGACATTATTATCGATACAGAGTCCAAATCTATAGTTTTTAGAGTTTTGTATGTCTGTTACCTGCATTATGAGAAACCCACTGGACAGATTTTGATGAAATTTGGTATGATGGTAGCTGGTTATCCGGGTCAACATATAGGATACTTTTAACCGCGGGTAAATATCTCATTTCTGAGAAAAAGTACAAAAACTGCATTGTAAGAGCATACTAATATGTAAAACCTAAGAATTTGGTTTTTGGTCATCTGAACGTGGGCGGAGCCGCGGGCAGTGCTAGTTTATATATATTATATAAAAATATATTTTATTATATTCGTAAGGTTTATTTATATAACAGTTTTTCTCTGTGATATATCTTCTGGCACTTAATGGACCTGCTACTTATCAAGTTATCTTCCACGTCCATGGGTTGGTTGGAAGAAATCTCTTTAAAATACCCTAATACTCTAAGAAAAGTAAATCTCAAAGAGTAGAAATTATTAATAAAAACGAATAATTGCAAGTGGTATCATGTACAAAATTCCTAGATATAGAATTTCTAGATTGTTTTGTAATTTGAAAGAACAAGTAAAAAAGATATGTTCAAGGTTCCTTCGTTTGTACATGCACTTAGACGTATCGGGGAAATAGTATCGAAAGAAGCAGCTATTACTGCTTATTACGGGTACGTATAATTTATTTTAAGTTAAATAAATACGAATACTGAAGTATTCATTTGCAATTAGTGAAATCAAACATGGCTTCATTTTAATTTGTCACAGAGGATTCAAATAGAGCTTGGACTAAAATCCCACTGCAAGATTGCTACGTTCATTGCGTATTTAATCGAAATCAATCTTTTATATACAATAATAAAAGGGGCAATATGTTTTGACCGGGATGCCTATTAAATTGTGCCCGCTAGTATGTTTAATTAACTAAATAATAGTTGACTTTTTGGAATAAAAACGATGCATTTGTTATTACAATGAATTATACTCCACTTCACAGAACTATACGTAGAGATCTTGAAAAATGATAGCTGCCGTTGCGCATTTGGCCGCAACC